GCTACAATCCCCAGTGCATATAAAACAGAGTTCAGAGTAATTTACTTTATTTCTTTTCCTTACATAACAACATCTGGCACACATCCTGCACTGTGAACTCGGTCCCTCTTTTGGTGGAGGCTTAGTAGCAGCCTTTTTCATTTTGGATGTGACGGAGGAGAGACATGTATCGCTGCACAACTCCTTCATAGTTCCCGAATCATCCACCGGAGCCAGGATGATGTTTTGAGGTCGCGCAATCACCCTGAAGAAATAAGATGCAAGAGATCAAATTTACAAACAGGCAAAGATTTGATGACGGAGCTCCTGAACTTTCAGAAATGTTATTTATTCATTAAAAACAATCATCTTTATACATTTCTGAGTCACTGAGATTCAATTTTTTGTAGATCAGCATGTCAAGTTACCACATTCACAAACCTGTTGAATCTGTAGCTCAGCTGCTCATTTAAATGGAGAATTAAAATACAGACTTACTGAAAGCAGTTGTGGCACTTTTTCATGGGTATTTTGATCTCGCGACGCTTTTCATGTAAGCAGGCCATGGAGCAAAAAAACTCCTCTGTGTCTTTCGGCTTGTAAAGTGTCTCTCCTTCCGACAAATTCTTCTTGCAGTGGAAACAGAGCGTGCACTCGTCGGCGATGAGCAACACTGTGTCGTTTGGTTCGACAGCATCCTCCTGTGGGAAGAGCCTCGGTTAGTATATAGGGATTAGAAATCTTCCCCACACTTGAATGTAAGCTCTGTTTTCTGTGACTGAATCGGAAAAAGAAACAAAGCATACTCACAGTGTTTGTCTCTTTTGATTGGTTATTGTTGTCTGAAGGGAGAAATCAGACATGTGATTACTGAAAATACAGCTGCTGCTCACGACTTGATCAATAACCTTTAATAAACTATTACTTTGTATTTGACAGTTTTATTTCACCTTAACGTGTTCTAAAAATTTTAGGAGTCACACAGATGAAATTATTAAATATGATCCAAACTTTTCTCCTCCACACAAAGTCAAAGTAAGGCTTGTTGGGACACACTTACTGGATTTATCTCACATGTTGGAGGCATATGGACACTTTTTAAATAGAAGATGTTGTGGGGGATTAGAAATATATTTCGCTGCTATTGTTAATAATCATCATCATCACCATTGCATTAATAATACAATCTGCAGTATTGATATTGTATTCAGATGTTTAAACATATTGGTACCCGATTAGCCTTTATTACAGGTGCGGTTATAACCACTCTAAACTGTTGAGTTGAATCTATAATCTTAAATGCTTTTGAATGCTTGTTATAATCTTAAATGTGTACGTGCTGGCCTTCTGTCTGGTGGAAAAGGTTACAAGTTCGTGTGAGGTCGAGCCACATACACACACACAGTAGACTTTATCTCATTTATAGGTGAGAGGTTAATCATGTTTGCTTGTAACTCTAAAATTGTCTCTGCAAAAAGAGGAACAGTTTGGTTTTCCAGACGAGAAGTGAAAGTCAGATGACAGGAAGCATCTGCTGTGGAGACGGAGACAATGTTATTTTTAAACTGTGTTAAGTCATTGTGGTTTTGAAACCTATATATGAACTGTATCTGAGTGACGTGAAGGGGCGCAGTAAATTTAAGCCCTGAAAGGTATAAAACACCTGCTTATGCTCTGTAAGTCGGGGATCTGCGTACAGCGGCGGTCTTCCCACGCGTGTGCATTAAAATCATCGTTTGACTCCACCCAGCAGGACCAGTGTTGTTATTATGGAAGTTGATTACCTCCTCTACCCCTCCTCAATATTTGAACCTAACATTGTCAAGACGGATGAAGAGAATTATAATAAAGGGAAAAGAAATCGATACTTCTGTTCGCTAAATATAGCGACAAAGTCGCTAAGTTGGCAACACTGTAGCCAATGCAACCAAATTTACCAGCTGTAAACTGCACTATACTACACTCCACACTTTATTAGTTCCACTACTACCGGGTTGGACCTTTTTTGCTTTCCCAATTCTCTTAAGCCTTTGCGGCATAGATTCAGCAAGGTGATGGGGACTTTCCTCAGAGGAAGGGTCGATCGTCATGTTATTATTGCCAAATTCCAACCCTATCCAATATCACAGCAGACACAGAGACTCATCAGA